CCGGCTTCGAATTGCGGACGGATTAACTGGCTTGGGCCCCGCCAGCTGGAGCAACTCGTGTGGTTGTTCAGATGACCGAACCACCTGCGTCGTGATTGCAAGCGGCGTGAGTAAAGTTTTTTAGAACCGATAAGTTGTGTCTGCCTCTCCAGTCACCAGCCCACCCTAACGTACGACCAATTTCTAACGTAACTCGAGTCGGCTCTGGCCGTCCGAGACATGGCCGAATCCGAATTCAAAGCGAATACTTGCTGCTTCGCACAGGCCTATTTCACAGTATGCTATTCATTATTTTTTCTTAAAATATGATTTAGGGGATGATTCAAACAGGGATGATCCTGTCTTAAGCACAGGCTTGGATTAGATGTACTCGTGATGTCCTTTCTAGCCCTACAATTCTATGGGAACAGATGCATGTTCCACTCAGTGTTAGTCTGTAACATTAAAAAGGCACATTATCAGAACACCATTTAGAACATACACAAATTATTTTGTAAACAAAATGTCACTGCTCAGTTCATCAGCATAATTTATTCCTATACTGAAGCTGACTATTAAAACAGAGGTAACATTTTCCTATCTTATGTTTAGTCTTTAATATCTCAAGTTTATTTTCTTACCTCAGCAGCCTGAGTCTCCTGATGTAGTAGAGTCAGACCTGTCAGATCCTCCAAGAAGGAATGTGAGGAATTAAAAACTTTTGCTAGGAAATTGAACCCTTGGTGTTCGTATTGATCAAGGACCTGTTGGACAAGCAAAGAGAAAGGGCAAACACATCAAGAGTTTATTTCTCACTACTTCATTTAGTTTGTAAAAAAAATAGCAATTTTTTGTGCCAACCTGCTTAATTATTGTGCTGTTATTAATGAAGAAACTCATAGCAAAAAGCAAGAATATTAATATTTCTCCCACTCTGTTGTGAAGGAAAGAACTGACAGGGCAAACCACAAGTTATATTCCTGAACAATCATACAGAGGGAATTTAAACATTTTATAAAACCCGGAGAAATCCTTCATTCCAATGTATTAGTTCTGATTTGAGGCCTTTGTAAAACCTTTCAGGAACCAGAAGCAAATTTTTAGCCTTCACAACCAGATCAATTCTTTGACAAGAATTTTTTAGCTGGCATTTAAAAAAAAATATGGATATTAGGACCTTTTAATTGGATAGTACTCCCCCCCCGCTTTTGGTTTTTCCCATATTTTACACATCATGTACAAATTCTCTGAATTTTTTTTCTCTTGTCCATTCTGTGAAATGCTTGCAACCTCCCCATCATTTTAAAGTAGGAAGACAAATGCTTTGATATGAACCAAGAAAGTAATCAAAAAGTTAAAAATTTAAGTATTCCACCTTCCAATATTTGTGTGGAAGAACAGCTGGGGGATGTATGATTAACTCCATTTAATCATACCAACTCCACTCAGGAAGGCAGGTTGCTGTCCCTACAGTCACTGTATTTTATTCTCCCTAAATTGCAAAATGAGTTGCAGGCACCACAAAACTAGCACTGTCATTAAATTAACTGATTCGACTAAAGGAAACTCAATGTAACTGAGTATGTTTTTTGTTTTTTTTTTAAATCAAGCATTTGACACACTTGATTGTGTATGATTAAAAAAGGAGGCAACATTTACAACTCATTGTTAATACATGAACAACCAACTTGTCCAATCATTCATTTAAAATTAATCAAAATAATCACTCACCCCTAACAACTTTACTCTTTTAAAATCTAATCCTAAACCTAGTAGCACAGATGGAGCTTACACTGCTGTTGCAGGAAATTGTGGGACTTTGCACATACTGCCACAATTCATCAGCACAAGTGTAGCAAAATATGTTTAACAAAACTTTTGTATACTTTTCTACAGAACTTCAGGCCAACTGTTGAAAATAAACTGTGAAATGCAAGAATTTTTTAGGGTGAAATCTTGTATTGGACCAACTATGTAGCAGGGATAAAATTAGACAAATTTTTGAATGCAAGACATTCTTTATCATGTCTCGGATCACAGGAAATCAGGCACAGCACAGATGCCAACAGAGACCAGACAAAGAACATCTTGCATTCAAAAGTTTGTCTAACTTTATCCCAACTACATAAAAGGTATCACCCTAAGAAATCCTTGTTTCTCACATAATTTCTGGGTCATCACAGCTACATCACTCTTACATTATCAGAGAAAATACTACTTTTTAGTTGACAGTACTGTAAATCCAGTTGGTTGAGTTTGGGAATTAAGCAGTTCTGGAGACTGCACTTCTAGACCTGAACTGAAGTGGTGATTTTTAAACACTGACATAAAAAAAGTTCTTATTAAGTAGTAACGTAATGTAAAAAAGAGAAACGGGTATAGTGCAATAAAGCATCAGGCCCCTTTTTAACCTGATTGTACACAGTTAAACACTAAAACATAAACAGCAGGCCTGCGCGAAGTGGCTAGTATTTGCTTTGGATTCAGAGTCAACCGATTCAGGGGACGGTGATACGATTTGGTGATTCGAATCACCGTCCCGAATCAATTCAGCCAAATCTGATTCAGAGATTCGGCTGCTGCCGAATCTCCGAATCACACAGGCACATCCACTGCTCGCTCTCTCAGCCCCAGCAATGGCTGCTCTACCGAAAAAAAAAAAAAAAGAAAGCCTCAGACTCACTGGGTGCTGCTGGGTGGAGGGGCAATCCCTGCTGCCCCACGCTGTGTGAGGGGCTCTGCACAAGCTCCCCAGTCCCCCCCATGGCTGCCCCGCCCGTCCCAGCTCTGGCCCTTTAAGAAAAAAAGGAAAAAAACCTGGGTTCCACCAGTTCCTGCATGGCAGGGGGGGTGATCCCCACTGCCCCACACCATGTGAGGGGCTCTTCCATGATCCCCCTGAAGCCCTGAGGCTGCTGCAGGAGCTGCTGAGTCCAGGGTGGGTTTCAGGTTTTTGTTCTTAAAGAGCCGGAGCTGGGGCAGGTGTGGTAGACATGGGGGGGGGGGGCTGGGAGGAGCGGGC